ATCAGTAAAATGCAGGCCGTGGGGAATTCCCCAGCACAAACAACTCAGTTTCTTACACAGACACACACAGTAAGGAAACAAAGGCAATAAAGGGAAAAATAGATTAAAAGAGATTTATCCACTAATTATAATGGACCTTTTAAAGATCTTAAGTTAAACAAATTGAAAAAGAAATATATTTAAAAGACATTTGGGGCCAGGCACAGAGGCTCTCTCGCCTGTAATCCCAGCACTTTGGGAGGCCATGGCGGGTGGATCACCTGAGGTCCAAAGTTCGAGACCAGACTGGCCAACATGGTGAAACCCCGCCTCTACTAAAAATACAAAAAAAGCAGCTGGGCATGGTGGCGCATGCCTGTAATCCCAGCCACTTGGGAGACTGAGGCAGGAGAATCGCTTGAACCAGGAGGTGGAGGTTGCAGTGAGCTGAGATCACGTCATTACACTTTAACCTGGGCTATTGCCCAGAGTGAAACTCTGTCTCAAAAAAAAAAAAAAAAAAAAAGGACATTTGGATAAATGTGAATAGTGAGTGAAGAGTTGGTGGTATGATATTAACATAATATTTAAAAGGTGTGATGCTGGTAATTTAATTTGCTTAAAAGACCATGCCTGTAATCCTAGCACTGTGGGAGACTGAGGTGGGCAGATCATTGAAGTCCAGGAGTTTGAGACCAGCCTGGGCACCACAGCAAAATCTGGTCTCTATAAAAAAACTTTAAAATTTGCTGGGTGTGGTAGTGCACACCTGTAGTCCCAGCCACTTGGGAGGCTGAGGTGGGAGGATCACCTGAGCCCAAGGAATTTGAGGCTGTAGTTAGCTGTGATCATGCCACTAAGCTTCAGCCTGGGTGACTGAGTGAGACCTTATCTTGAAAAAAAGAGAAAAAGAGAGTGTCTACCATTTATTATAGATACACACTAAACTATTTAAAAATGAAATGCTGCTGGGTGTGGTGGCTCACGCCTGTAATCGCAACACTTTGGGAGGCCGAGTCGGGCGAATCACGAGGTCAGGAGTTTGAGACCAGCGTGGCCAACATGTTGAAACCCCATCTCCACTAAAAATACAAAAATGAGCTTGGCATGGTGGTGTGCGCCTGTAATCCCAGCTACTTGGGATGCTGAGACAGGAGAATCGTTTGAACCTGGGAGGTGGAGGTTGCAGTGAGCCGAGATCACGCCATTGCCGTCCACTCTGGGCAACAGGGTGAGACTCCATCTTGGAAAAAAAAAAAAAAAAATGAAATGCTATCGCGATCTGGGATTTGCTTCAACATAATTCAAGCAAGTGAGGAGAAGTGAGGAGGTGCATGGCTGAACAAGATATACCACGAGGTGATTACTGAATCTGGATAAAAATACCTGAAGTTAATGATCTATTCTTTCTAATTTTCATATAGAGGTTTGAACTTCTCCATTATAAAAACATTAAAAATAAGACTTCTTCTAATGTTGTGCCATGTTGCTATTCCTAAGAATACGCCGGTGGGTAATGTATGTTATTTGTTTAATACACATTGGCTTTCATCAGCTAATAGACATTAAAAATGTTTTCATTTATATCAATTTTTTGCGTTGTCTTTGTTAAATTTTGGTGTCAGAATACTCATTCCATACTCAGCAAATACCTACTGAGTATTTAGTGTGTACCCAGCACTGTAATTGCTATGAAGAGTAGAAAAATAAATAGGACTGATGTAATTACTGTCCTCAAGGAGCTGTTATGCAGAAAATGATTTGGCAAGGTCTCCATATTATTTTATCCTATGAAAACCACAGATAACACAGAAATCATCCATTCTTTGAAAGTTTGGGGTCATGTTTTTGACCATTTTTTCAACTTTCCATGGGTAATGGAATCAGCAATTCAGCATCAAGAATTAATTAGACTTTATGGGTCTTTGCAGTTCATTATTTTTCACTGCATTGTATACACTGTGTCTCCCTCATTCCTGCAGTCACTTATTTTTAACTCTTTGTTGAGAGAATTTCTTAAATCAAATTTCTTGTTCAAAACAAAATTAGAGAGGTGTGTACTTTCTTCGTTTTCACATAATGGCAAATGTCTTTTTAACCTTCATGCCTGTGCAATGGTCGTCTTTGTGTAGAACTTCTGACCCTTAACCCATTTCCCTCAGAGCTCTGTGAACATTGTTCCACTGACTTCTACATACAGGAGTGCAGAGCAGAAGGCCAGTGAGTCAGATCCTTACTCCTTGTTAGGTAATCTGTTTTCTTCTATGGAAAAGTCTAGAAATATCCTGCTACATATGGAAATCAAAACATATCCTTGGATCTAGATAAGGTATCTATGTTGCCACAGTTCTTACCTGGTGGTGAACCGTTTATGAACAAAAGACCTAAAACTTCTCTTTTCTTCTTTAATTTTTCCATAGTTTATTGGGGTACAGGTAGTGTTTGGTTACATGAGTAAGTTCTTTAGTGATTTGTGAGATTTTGGTGCACCCCTCACCAGAGCAGTAGACACTGCACCCTATTAGTAGTCTTTTATCCCTCGCCCCACTCCCACCCTTCCCCCCAAGTCCCCAAAGTCCATCATATCATTCTTATACCTCTGCATCCTCATAGCTTAGTTCCCACATATCAGTGAGAACATACGATGTTTGGTTTTCTATTCCTAAGTTACTTCACTTAGAATAATAGTCTCCAATCTCATCGAGGTAGCTGTGAATGTCGTTAAATCATTCCTTTTTATGGCTGAGTAGTATTCCATTGTATATATATCACAGTTTCTTTATCCACTCGTTGATTGATGGGCATTTGAGTTGGTTCCACAATTTTGCAATTGCAAATTGTGCTACTGTAATCATGTGTGTGCAAGTATCTTTGACCTAAAACTTCTGTTTGAGGAAGTGTTTCTTTTTTGGTTTTAAACATTATTTGTTTTCATCTGCTCTCTTTTCTTCTTATGAATTTCATAATGGGTTCCTCTGGTCTATCTTCCATGCCTCTAATTTTTTCTCAAACAATTTAAACCTCCTTGTCTTTTTTTCCCCTTTAAGTCTAGGAAAGCAGCCTATGTGACAAACTTGCACATCCTGCACACGTACCCCTGAACTTAAAATAAAAGTTTTTTTAAAAGTTATTTTTTTTATTTTTATTTTTTATTTTTGAGATGGAATCTCGCTCTGTTGCCCAGGCTGGAGTACAATGGCGCGATCTCGGCTCACTGCAAGCTCCGCCTCCCGGGTTCACGCCATTCTCCTGCCTCAGCCTCCTGAGTAGTTGGGACTACAGGTGCCCATCACCACACCCGGCTAAGTTTTTGTATTTTTAGCAGAGACGGGGTTTCACCGTGTTAGTCAGGATGGTCTCGATCTCCTGACCTCGTGATCTGCCCGCCTCGGCCTCCCAAAGTGCTAGGATTACAGGCGTGAGCCACCGGGCTGGCCAAAAAGTTATTTTTAATTTAAAAATTCCTTTTAAGATTTGTCTTAAATACTATCTATTGAATTGTATTTGTTCAACAATTGTGAACTTTTTTTTCCAAGAAAATGTTCTTATTGCTCAGATATCTTTTCTCCTAGCCTCTTTTTTTTATAGACAACTCTTGTTTTATTGATTCAAAAGCCTCTTTAATTCCATTGATAAAACTACTGAAAATTTTCTTTAACATTTTCACCATCTCCCCACGTTAACTGATTTTCAGCAAAGGCTGTTTATTTATTTATTTATTTATTTTTATTTTTTAATTTTTTAATTCTCTTTGCAAACGAGAGTCTCACACTGTCGCCCAGGGTGTGGATGTGCAGCGGGCAATCTTGGCCTCACTGCAAGCTCCGTCGTCCCCAACGTTCACACTATTTCTCCTGCCTCAGCCTCGCTGAGTAGCTGAGACCACAGGTGCCCGCCAACCACGCCTGCTCATTTTTTTATTTTAGTTTGGAGACGGGGTTTCACCGTGTTAGTCAGGATGGTCTCGATCTCCTGACCTCGCTGATCTGCCCGCCTCGGCTCCCAAAGGCTAGGATTACAGCGCGTGAGCCAACGCGCCCAGCCAAGGCTGTTTATTTTTTTATTGTTTTTGAGTTGGAGTCTCGCTTCTGCCGGCCCAGGGCTGGAGTGCAATGGCACGATCTCAGCTCACTGCAGCCTCTGCCTCCAGGGTCCGGCGATTCTCCTGTCTCAGCCTCCCAGGTAGCTGAGATCACAGGCATGCGCACCCCACGCCCGGCAATTTTTGTATTTTAGTAGAGATAGGGGTTTCACCATGTTGACCAGGCTGGTCTCAAACTCCTGACCTCAGATGATTGCCCGCCTTGGCCATCCCAAAGTGCTAGGATCTTTATTTTAATTGTCAGTTTGTTTCTATGGGGTTAAAAGTTTATGTCAGAAATTTTCTGTTCTGCTGATCCTTTTAACTGGACTTCTAGACTGATCACTATTTGGAGCCGACTTGGAATTCCTCACAATCATGTGGGTGACTCTTAGATGCCCCCTGGTGGGCATTGTTTCTATCTTCCTCTGACTACTATGTGGCCTCAGGGATTCTTCAGTGAAAAACAAGTGATGGCTGCCACTTGGCTGCATGCTTGGTTAAGCCAAGTCAGGTGGTTAATACAATTTATTTGATCCTCCTGGACTTTTTTCGGTTTTTGCATTACTCTGATGGCTCATGAGAGGCCACTGGTATCTAGGACAGAGCCCAGGGATGAACGATATCTTCCAAAAGGAAAAAGAAAAGAGGCCTGTGCCCTTGACCCTGGCATCAGTTTTGCCACACCGTCTTTACTCCCCTCTCTTCTCCAAGACCATGAATGATTTTCTGGTGAGGACTCTGAGTGAGGATGAGAGAGAGACAAAACTACAGGTTAATTTATGAAGATACAGAGACAGAAAAATTCAGCAAACAGTTTAAAGAATTTATATGACAAGGAGAAAAAAAAGCAATGAAGAGAAAAATAAAACTATTATTTAATATGGAGTAGGAAGAGCTTGAAAGGTAACATAAAAGTAAGGACCCACAAGAGTTTCCATATTCTTTTAAAAGTGCTCGCTTATCTTTTCAACAAATGTGTTGATTCAAATTACTTCTCTGGGATCTGGGAGTAGTCCAGAAGCCAAAAATAGCCAATCTGGTCAGAAAGCAGCAGCCAAATATGTTCAAATATGTTCAAAGAAAGAAGCCATGGAGCAATTGAATCAAAGACCTACAGACTAGAGCTTTTCATTCATCCAACAATAAAAATGTGAAGAGTTACTTTTGCTTGACATCAATTCGTTCAGTATCTATCACGGAGAATGAGAACTACAAGGTTAGACAAACAAGAACATACTTTGGTGGAGTTGCATTAAATGTTTCCTGTTCCTACAGAGCCCTTCTATGTAATGAGATTCTGTGTAATGAGATTACCTATGTAACCTTTGATCTACTTGGTCTTTCACCTTGTCCTCTGAGACTCTCAGGTGGGAGCAATCAGAAAGCACAGAGCCATCAGGACCCCTCCACCATCACTGTGGGAAGCGTTTCTGAAATACCAGGCTTCTCACAGCACCCTTCACGTCCTTGTTCCTCAGGCTGTAGATGATGGGGTTGAGCATGGGGGTCACCACCCCATAGAAAAGGGAAATGAGTTTGTCTGCAAGGTCCTGTTTGTCTGCTCCCAGCAGGTCCTTAGACTTGGGCTTCCCATACATGAAGAAGAAGGTCCCGTAGAAGACGATCACGACAGTGAGGTGGGCAGAGCAGGTAGAGAAGGCCTTTCTCCTCCCCTCAGCTGAGGGGATCCTCAGGATGGTGGCGATGATGAAGACATAGGAGAAAGTGATGAGCAGAACCGGGACTCCCAGGAAGATCACATTGGTCACTCCCATACTGATCACATTGACAGAGATATCAGCACAGGCCAACTTCAGGACAGCCAGAATCTCACAGGTGAAGTGGTTGATGATGTTGTCTCCACAGAAGGGCAGCCTCATTGCAAGGGATGTCTGCACCATGGCAGTAAGGCTTCCAGCTACCCAGGAGCTGGCAGCCATGGGCACATAAGTAGCTTTGCTCATGACTTCAGAGTACCTAAGGGGGTTGCAGATGGCCACGTAGCGATCAAACGCCATCACGCTCAGGAGCACACACTCTGTGGCTCCCATGGCAAAGGAGAGGAACATCTGCACTGCACAGGCTGAGAAGGCGATGGTTTTCCTGGGAGTCAGGAAGCTATTAAGGGTGAGTGGGACTGAGGAGGTTGTATAGCAGATGTCTAGGAAGGAGAGGTTCCCCAGGAAGAAGTACATGGGTGTGTCCAGGCGGGAGTCAAGGATGGTCACCAGGATGAGGACCCCATTGCCCAGCAGGATCACCAGGTACATCAGCAGGATGAGCATGAAGAATGTCTTCTCCAACTTTGGATGGGCAGAGAGGCCCAGGAGAACAAACGCCATCACAGGGGAGGTCTGATTGGAACTGACCATGGTGTCTCTATGTCACTTGCACAAACTCAGAGGGCCAGCTCCATGATTCTCTGATGCCTAAAGTGCCCAGACAGCCAGTGAGGAAGCCCAGACTTGCTGAGCAATTGGAGAACATCTCTGACAATTCAAAGGGTTTTCTATATTGCTTTAAATAAAATGCAGGAAATTTGATCAAAATCTACTTGGTGGTATTTGGCCACCCCATAGAGAGGTTTCAAATGTCACCTGATTAGATTTAATTTTCCTCATCATATTTAAGACAGGCATCACACATTTTCTTCAAGTTACAGGTGTGGATGATTCACTTTGCTCAATTTTGGCAAGAAATGTTATATTCAATTTGTATGTTTTTTCCCCTTGAGACCTAGGACTGGTAGAAAAAACTGGTACGCCTCATCCCCAATCCCTGACCATTCTGCTCTGTGAGCACTTTTTAAAATTATTATTATTATTTGAGACAGAGTCTCACTCCATTACCTAGGCTGGAGTGCAGTAGGGCAAATACAGCTCATTGCAGCCACAACCTCCAGGCTCAAGCGATCCTCCTGCCTCAATCTCCCAGGTAGCTGGGACCACATGCCTGTGCCACCACACCTGGCTAATTTTTAATTTTTTGTCAAAACGAGGTGTCACTTTGTTGCCCAGGCTGGGCTTAAATTCCTGGACTCAAGCAATCCTGCCACCCTGGCCTCCAAAGTGCTGGGATTACAGGCGTGAGCCACGGCACCCGGCCTGTGAGCACTTTAAGATGCTCTCTGCCTCCTCTTTTCTAGATCGCTTCCGAGATCTACAGAGCCCTGGGCTATTTGTCCATTCACTCACTCACTTGCCAGACTCTTCTGGAGCACGTATTAACAGGACTGGCATTTGCCAACCAATCAATGCATGGGAATCGTGAAGTTCTTTTTCTTCTCTGGAACTTCATTTCCCGACGCTCACTTTGGAATAGATTATTATCAGAGCTATTCCATCCCAGGGACTAAATGGTCTCATGGATTTCTCATTCTTGGACTGTTGCACCATGGAGACATCCTTTTCTATTTCCTTCAAAATTCCCCCTGTGCCACTTAGTCACCAGGTATGCCACCGGGGATGGAGCTGGGCCCACAAGAGTTTCTATATTGTTTTAAAAGTGCTCACTTACCTTTTCAACAAATGTGTTGATTCAAATTTACTTCTCTGGGCTCTGAGAGTAGTCCAGAAGCCAGACATAGCCAATCTGGTCAGAAAGCAGCAGCCAGATGAGTTAGTGCCTGAAATGGGTGAACGTTTTCTTGTCTTTGTTCTGTGTTTTGGTAAAATCCACAGAAACCATTCATTGCTCATACAAAGCCACTTAAATCCCATCCTGCTATTGGGATTATTCTAGTCCCTGAAGTCATTTAAAGTTTGGAAATTCAAGTTACCAAGTCAAGAAACTTCTTATACATCTGGGATTATGTCCCTGTGATCCAATTACTCTGAAGTTTCTCCAGAAATACTTTCTTCTCTCTTCCCTCTCTTCCTACCCATTTTGCTGGGCTATTGGAAAGTATTAGAGAGAAACGATCACCCTAGCCCTCCCCAAATTAACAAGAACCCCCAGTCCATAAGAACTGTCACCAGAGTCCATGATAGATCTGGGGGAATGTGAAACCACACAGGACAAATCCTTGTGGGTTAGTCCCCTTGGCCATTTACAAATTCAAAGGGTTTAGGATCTCAGGTTTGGATGAAAGCCAGTGACCTAGAAGATCTCTTGTCTGCATCCCACCAAATAGGTTCTGTTAGGCAGTTCCTACCCAGACCAGACCTTTAAAGGGTCATAAGTGAATCTGGTCATGGCTTCTACTAGAGAGTTTCAGAGGCAAGGCAGCTGTGGACTTGAAAAAAAGCAGTTGATCACAGAAGTGGTGTCCTGTTGCGAACAGCTCAGTCTTTTCCTGTGTGTGTGTATGTGTGTGTGTGTGTGTGTGCGCGCGTGAGTATACTATATCTGTGCATTTGTGAGAGCAGTGCTGATTTACCACTGGGATCTAGTAACCTCCACTTCTGACATCCAAAACTGAGAGCTGTGACTGCCCAGGCAGCAACCAGAAGCATCTTCAATGTGGATCACTGTTTTCTGATACACTACAGTTTCTTAATCACATTCCAGTTTTCCCTTTCCCATTTAATTCTAATACCGGAGATGGTAGGTGGCACATGTGATGAGCTCTCATTCCACAGATGTTCTTGGTGTGCAAGAAGAGCCTGCCCAGTTTAGCAAAAACGCTTGGGCAATCCTGACCACCTCTTTCACAAATGAACATGCCTGCCTTATACTCCAGCTCTAAAAATCCTAGAATCAAGTACATGCCACATTCATAGTCATAAGCCATTTTGTCTTGCATTGAATTTTTTTCTTTTTGTGAGATATACATACAAAAGAGAGTAAAAAGCATATGTAAACCATTCAAGAAAAAATAAGAAAATATACTACCATGTCCCCCTCCTCCACTCAGGTTAAAATTAGGATGTTCCAGAACCTCAGAAGCCCCTCTTATTTTCTTATCCAATTATATTTCCTTATTCCCTCCCTTCCAGAAGTGACCATTATTTTGACTTCTATGGAAATCATTTTGTGGTAGGCAGAATCTTAATGATCCCCACATGATCACACAATTCCCTTCGTGCGGTGATCAAATACTAACCTAGGTACTGCTGTGAAGGGATTTTGTCAATGTAACTAAAGTTCCAAATCAGTTGTCTTTAAGATTAGAAGATTGTCCAGCGAGGTCTGACCTAATCAAGTGAGCCCTTTAAAAATAATTTTCTCTGGTTAGTAGCAGAAGGAGAAGCCAGATTCAAAGTGTGGGAAGGATTCCACATGCTGTTTCTTGATTGTGAGATGGAGGGAGCCGCGAACAAGAACCAGAGAGCTGCCACAAGGAGCTAAGCATGACCCCTGGCGACGGCCAGTAAGGAAACCGGGACCATAGTCTAAAAAACACAAGGAATTGAATTTTGCCACCAATAGCAATGAGCTTGAAAGCTGACATTTTCTCAGAGCGCAGCCTAACTCACCCAACCTTCTCACTTCCGGAACTGTGAGCTACTAATGAGGTGTTTCACGCTGCTGATAGTGGGGTGGTTTGTTATGCAGCAAGAGAAAGCTAATATGTATTCCCTTCATTTCCTTCACAGTTTGACCTTCTACAATGTACTAGTGTACAATGGATTGTTCCATTTTGAAAAATGGAGTAACAATTACAAACCTAGCTTTTAAAACAATACATTTAAGGGGTACAAGTGAAGTTTTGTTACACAGATATACTGAGATATGGTGAAGTCTGGGTTTTTAGTGCAACCATCACCCAAAATAATGTACATTATGCCAGTTAAGTAATTTCTCCTCCCTCAGCCCCCGTCACCATCCCACACTTCCAAGTCTTCAGTGTCAATTATTCCACACTTCATGTCCATGTGGACACACTGGTATTTGACTTTCTGTTTCCGGGCTGCATAACTTAAAAGACTGGCCATCCAACATGGCCAGTTCCATCCATGTTGTGCAAAACACATGGTTTCCTTCTTTTCTATGTCTAAAGAGTACTCCATTTTGTATATAGATGACATTTTCTTTATCCAATCATCTGTCTATAGATGCTTAGATTGATTCCATCTTTGCTGTTGTGAATAATGCTGCAATAAATATACCAATGCGGGTATCTTTTTTTACATAATTAATTCTTTTCCTTTATGTATCTACATAAAGGAAAAGATACATAAAGGAAAAGAATTAATTATCTACATAAAGGAAAATAATTAATTATGTAATGGCGAAACCCCATCTCTACTAAAAACACAAAAATTAGCTGAGTGTGGTGGTGCATGCCTGTAATCCCAGCTACTCGGGAGACTAAGGCAGGAGAATCACTTGAACCCAGGAGGCAGAGGTTGCGGTGAGTTGAGATTGCACCATTGCACTACAGCCTGGGCAATAAAAGCGAAACTCTGTCTCAAAAAAAAAAAAATCATTGTGTAAAAAAGTAGATTGAACAGTAGTTCTATTTTTAGTTCTTTGAGAAGTCTCGATACTGTTTTCCATTGAGGTTGTACTGACTTGCCTTCCCACCAACAAATATAAATATTTCCCTTTTTTCACATCCTCACTAACATCTGTTATTTTTTGACTTTTTAATAATAGTCATTCTGGCTGACAAATCTAGCTTTTTGATTGAAAAAAAAAATATTGCCACTATTTTGGGGAAGACTCACCTGAGAATCTAAGCTGTCAGTTTCAATAGTCCCTTCTGCGTAAGTCAGACAGTGCTGTAGGGTGGCCAGGTACCAGACATCTGGCAGAAATATCATCAGAGAGAGTGGATTGTTTTATGTTTCCTGCTTCTAAGCTCTGAGTACGGCCCTCCTCCCACTCTTGGGAATAGATCAAAGCAGAATACTCTCTGGAGTGGAATGAGTGTCCTCCGCTAACCCAGTCAGCGAGACACGGAGAGAGAAGAGGGCATTTTATACATGCATGGCCAAGATAAGGCCAGTGCAGGAAAGAATGTGGGCCAGGCTGTCTGGGGCATTCTGTCCTCAAGTTAATCACCATAGGCAGCAGGGGTCTATGAATGAGAGCCTTTGACATGCCTGTCTCTGGAGTCGTAGGGCTGCCCTCTGGGCTGGATGCATTCTCTGCAGGGTGTACAACTGTCATGCCAGGATCTCCTTTTACTGTCCCGGGGACTCCTTACACCTCTCTTATGGGTTGGAACTTCTGTTTCCTTTGTCAATTTCTTTCTATTTCTTGGTTTAATCTCTTATTTTGATAGAGCACTTTCTTGAATAACTTCTTTTTCTTTTTCTTTTTTGAAGTGGAATCTCATTCTGTCACCCAGGCTGGAGTGCAGTGGCACAATCTTGGCTCACTGCAACCTCTGCCTCCCTGGTTCAAGTGATTCTCCAGCCTCAGCCTTCTGAGTAGCTGGGATTACAGATGCATGCCACCACACCCGGCTAAGTTTTGTATTTTT